ATATGCCACAGGGAAGAAAAGCTCCAAACACAAGAAAAGGTTGGAAAAGGCTATGAAAGTGCTCAAGAAACAAAAAAAAGAAGAAAAAACCAGAGGTCTTTAACTTTTCAGCTATTCAGTTGAGTCATGATCCCCAAGATTTTTGCAGAAAAACTACTAAAGCAGCTAGAGAGCTCTACGGAGAGGTTTGAGGTAAAAATGATGCTCATGAACCTCATCTCCAGATTGGTGGGAATTCACGAGCTTTTTTCTTTAACTTCTATCCATTTGTGCAAAGGTTTCTGCAGCACCACCAAAGAGAAGTAACAGATCCTTCTGTTTGCTGCCCAAGCATCTCATCACTTAGTACCCCCAGAGATCATTCAGTCAGTGCTCATGACTGTGGCCAATAATTTTGTCACCGACAAGAACTCTGGGGAGGTCATGACAGTAGGAATCAATGCTATAAAAGAGATAACAGCTCGATATCCTCTAGCCATGACTGAAGAACTTCTCCAAGACCTGGCTCAGTATAAAACACACAGAGATAAGAATGTGATGATGTCTGCTAGAACTTTGATTCAGCTCTTCCAAACACTGAATCCTAAGATGTTGCAGAAGAAATTCTGGGGTAAGCCTACAGAGGCCTCCATAGAAGCAAGAGTGCAAGAATATGGAGAATTGGATGCTAAAGATTACATTCCAGGAGCAGAAGTTCTAGAAGTTGAAAAAGAAGAGGATGCTGAAACGATGAAGATGGGGGGGAAAGTACCAGTCTCAGTGAGGAGGCAGATGCCGATGGTGAGTGGGTTGATGGGCACCACTCTTCTGATGAAGAACAGCAAGAAATATCCAAGAAGCTCAACAGCATGCCCATGGAGGAGCAGAAAGCCAAAGCTGCAGCCATTATTAGCATGAGCCAAGTTTTAACTCAGGAAGACTTCCAGAAAATCCGCATGGCCCAAATGAGGAAAGAACTCGATGCTGCCCCAGGGAAAGCCCAAAAGAGGAAATATATTGAAATTGATAGTGATGAGGAGCCCAGGGGTGAGTTACTTTCTCTTCGGGACATTGAACACCTTCATAAGAAGCCAAAGTCTGACAAGGAGACAAGACTAGCAACGGCAATGGCTGGAAAGACAGACCGAAAAGAATTTGTGAGGAAGAAAACCAAAATGAACCCATTTTCCAGTTCCACAATAAAGAGAAGAAAAAACAGAAGAACTTTATGATGATGCGATATAACCATAATGTCCAGTCAAAAAACAAGCGTTCCTTCCGAGAAAAGCAGCTGGCACTACGAGATGCACTTTTGAAAAAGAGAAAAAGAATGAAGTAATCTCCAAGCAAATTTTCCATTCCAAGAATGCCAAATTTGTATCATTATTATAAAAATTAGTTAATCAAAAATGTTTATTTACATCAAAAAGTCCTGAAGCACTATATTGTGAAAAACAGTAAATTTGGTAGCAATTTAGTGTTTTTGTTTTGGAGATGGGTAATGGTGGGAATGTTTGAAATGTAATCAGTAATGGTGTTGTAAAATCATTTTCTTTTTTTTTTCAAGATTTTATTTATTTATTTGAGAGAGAGAGAATGAGAGACAGAGAGCACAAGAGGGAAGAGGGTCAGAGGGAGAAGCAGACCCCCCGCTGAGCAGGGAGCCCGATGTGGGACTCGATTCCCGGACTCCAGGATCATGACCTGAGCCGAAGGCAGTCGCTCAACCAACTGAGCCACCCTGGCACCCTGTAAAATCATTTTCATTTAGCATTCATGCAAAAAAAAAATGTTGGGTGCCCACTAATTGTCACTGTAGATATAAAAATGAATGAGCCATAACCCCTCACAGAAGGCATTCACAGCCTATTTGGGAAATAGGAGGGGGCAGATGTGTGTTGTATGTGTTTTTATAGTGCAGTGTAAATAGTTCTCTAATAGAGGTAGGTCTGTGCTTCTCTGGGGTCATAGAGACCTCTGCAGGGCATGGGAGTTAAACATTTTCTCCTAAAACAGGACAATGTTACAAGAGTAAGAGATTCTTACTTGTATATAGGCTTACCTGCTGAAAACAGGTCCCTGCTGTACAGATTTTCAGTAGCCAATTAGGTCTTTTAGTCCATCCAAAAAATGTAAGTATTTTTTTGAATGCCAGGTACAGGCTTTTTGGTTAAGACCTCGCTTTTTAAATTGCCTTAAGTATAAATAATAATCTTGGAGTGTCTTTAGTTCATCATTTGGGCTGCCATAGAGGAAAAAGAAATCAGATTGGTTTCCTCAGCCTGCCTTCATGCTGTGGTATTTTCAGGCCACTGTTTGCTTTGTCTCAATAAAAGGTTCCTAATGTCAAAAAAACACAAAAAACAAAAAACTGATGATGTATTGTATGGTGACTAACATAACATAGTAAAATTAAAGAAAAAAAGAAAGGGGCTAAGGTGGAAGTAGGAATAAATAGTCAGAAGGCTTTTGCAATTTGTATGTGAGAGAAACAAGTGGACCAGTGTGGTGGAGGTGATGAAGAGTAGATGGGTTTTGAAAGTAGAAGCAGGTTTTGTTGATGGATTAAGTTAAAAATAAATAAATAAATAGAAAAGGCCCTATAGTGGGAAATTTAAATAGACATTTTAACTTGTGGGACAAAGAAGAAATCATGATGAACATTTAAAAAGGAAATACTGTATTCAGAATCGAAGCAAAATGTGTGAGATGCAGCTAAGGTGTACTTGAAGGAAATGTATAACCTTCAATACTTAAATTGCAAAAGAGGAGAGGCTAAAAATTAATGTGATAAGCTTCCAATTTGAAAGGTTAGGAAAATAATAGCAAAATGAACTCAAAGAATTAAAATGAAGGAAATAGGAATTACAAGAACAGAAATTGATACAATATGTGATACATACAAAACAGAATCAACAAAGTCAAAAATTGATTGTTTTGAAAACATTAATCAAATGGATATACCTGATTACCCTGATTAAGAAAGAAATAGTAAAGGTAAATATTATTAAAAATAAAGGAAATATACAAATAAAGATACTGAGAGATTAAGAAGACAATAAGGATAAGTAACTTTATGCTAATAAATATTATAACTTAGATAAATAGACTGGTCAAGTTTGCACACTTAAGTAACTTAGAATGGAATCAAGAAGATTCATTATGGAATAAATCTTCCATAATGAATCCAATAATCATAGAAGAAATAGAATCAACAGTTAAAATCTCCCCACAAAGAGAACACCAATGCCAAATAGTTTTATTGGCAAATTCTGTCAAACATATAAGAAGCAAGTATTTCAGAATACAAAAAAGAATCAACAGTTTCTAACTCATTTCATGAGGCTGGGATAAACTTAATACCAAACCTTGACAAGGTTCATATAAGAAAATTGCATGTTAATTTCATTTATGAACATACATGCAAAAATACTAAAGAAAATATTAGCAAATGGAATTCAGCAATCTATAAAAAAGATAATACAGTGTGACCCATTTGGATTCGTCCAAGAATGCAATATTAATTTAACATCTTAAAAAAACCAATTAATGTAATTATCACATAGCCCGTGAAAGGATAAATAATTATATGAGCACATATAATTGCAGAAAATAGAGGCTTATGTGATTCAACTGACATTCAAGAAAAAAAATCTTAAAAAAATAAGATTGATAGGAAGCTCTGCAGAGCCTTTATATCCCACACAGACTGTTAGAAAACTAAGCAAGCTGATTCATTAATTGTATGTGAAATATCAAAGGGCTAACAAGAGCCAATTTCCAAAGAAGAATAACAAGGTGGGGAGAATTGCCGTATCAAATATCAAAACCTGTTAGATATAAAGGTATTGTAATCAAGGCAGTATGGTACCGTACAGGGTAGGGAAATCAACAATTGAAGAGAATAGAACACACAGAAACAGATGCACACTTATACGGAATTGTGATATTTTACAGGATGGTCATTGCAGATTAGTGGGGGATTAACTCCTGCCAGGACAATTGTTTTTGCAGACAGAAAAAAATGAAATAATTGAGACCTTGCCTAACAACATCGTCTCTGATCACCTGTTCCCCCATTTACGCTTCTTCCACAAATGTTTTATTTTTGCAACTGGCCATACCATCCACCCAGTTGCTCAAACTACAAACCTAGGAGCAATCAATCCTTCCTTCTCTTTATCTCCCAGACATCATGTTCTGGTGATCCTTGGACCTACACTCTGCCCTGTCCTTTTGCCCTTCCTTTACTGCCCTAACTCTTACTGAGGCGTCAGCTCTGCTACACTCCATTTCTAAGTGAAGTTCCCCTCCTGTGTCATCCCATCACACCCAGGACTCTGTTGCTATTACGCTTATACTATCGTAATTGTCCGTTTATTTCTAGGTAAGTTTCTGAAGATCTGCTAGAAATTCCTTGTGGAAGAGTATTCTGTCTTGTTCAGTTTTATTTCCAGTGCCTACCCCTATGCCTGGAATATAGTAAACCATCAATCAATGTTTAGAAAATGCATGAATTAATAAATAAATGAATGAAAGATACACAGTAAGTGAGTTCTGCACCTGAAACATAGAAATTGGTCTAAGTTCTTTTGTCATCTCATTCTGGTTTTTGGAGAGTTCCTCAAATGTATTCTTCTTTGCCAAATAGATCTAGCTTAAAATAATACTACTTCAGGCTATGATAAAACCACTTTTCATACATTCTTCACATTGATTAAAGATACTTCACACACAAGCAAAAAACATCCCAAGCTAATTCTGTTTTATCTTTTTAGAATGATGATTCTCTGAGAGGGACTAAGTCTTCTATGTTGTAACACAACACAGTGTGTCTTAAAATTGTTCCTTTTTAATTAAATGAAACATCAATTAGAATTGTCTGGAACATCTTAGATGCCCAATACATTTATTTTATGTATGAATGAAAAATTAAAGATATAAGTTGTGTGTTTAATATTTTTTTATATCTAGAGATGACTCTTCCTACTTATCACATTCTTTGTCATTTCTTTCTGAAGGAGTTTGATTGGCCAATAGAAGGACTGCTTATTCCAAACAGTCCTCCCATGAAGAAATTCAGCTGTAAGAGCCCGGAGCTGTGTGTTCCTGTGAGGCTCAGAGTTCTGCGGAATGGAGACAAGAATAAAAATAGAGCCTTTGTTATAATTGGTCCAGGTATCTCACCTGGACGGAAAATGCAGTAAGAACATTTTGCTCATACTTCTCGTTTCTAATTTCCGCAAATTTTTGTCTTCATTAAGGATGTGTTTCTGGGACAATTCTGTGTTTATTTTTAAAAAGGGCTCTTGAGATGCCTGGGTGGCTCCATTGGTTGAGCGACTCCCAATTTTGGCTCAGGTCATGACCTCAGGGTTGTAAGGTCATGGGATGAGCCCTGCCTCAAGCTCTGTGCTCAGGGGGGAGTCTGCTTGAGATTCTCTCTCTCTCCCTCTCCCTTTGCCCCTCCCTCTTCTCTCTTTCTCTCTCTCAAATAAATAAATAAATCTTTAAAATAAATAAATTAATTAATAAATAAAAAGGGCTCCCATATCTTGATATTTGGAGATAAAAATAGAGACTGAGATTTAATTAAAACTTGTCAGGAACTTTTAACTCTTCTGATTGAGGCTAAGCACAGGAGACAATAATGAGTTAGAAATGGGTATTTCTGATCAAAAAAGGTTCTGAGATCGATGTCCATTTTGAATTAGCATTTTTGTTTAAGTTTTATTAATGTGTTTCAAAATAACTGAGGTCATAAATTGCTTCTTACATATAATTGTATAAGTCCTTATTTAAATTATTATTGTACATTATTATCTACATGAAGCTCTTTGGCATATTTAACAAGCAAATATAGTTCTCAAAATATAACTTCATATAATTTATATCTCTGCCTTTGGAATAACATTTTTAAAAGCTTATCATTCTAGAAAAACATCGATCTGCACTTTAGCTTATAAGATTGGAATAAAATCTTCCCATACAACCAATATTTCTCCAACATTAGAGAAAAATCACTTGCTGTATTTTCATTACGTTTTATGACAAAAGAAATCATAGAGCAGTGCAAAGCTGTGATGTAAAGAATGAGTTAAATATATTGTTTCTCATATTATTAGCAGTGCTGTTATCTTCTGACCTTTCTTTTGAGATGTTTAGAATATTTGAGGCTGCTGATAATCGTTTAATATTACTTTCTTCACATTGATTAAATATTCTTCATACATCACTGAACAATGAGTAACATTCAGATCGGCTGTCCACTGAACTGCCTGTAAAGATGATAAAGTAAAAAATTAATCTTCAAAGTAAAGTCAAGCCTGAAATTGAAATCTTTGACGCATACATTTCATAATTAGCTCATTCTGCTAGATGTAAAATGTGAGGGTAATGCCCTTAAAGTAGCATATGACTTTTTTTAACATCCAAAGTTAACAAATAATTTTTGTTCCTTCCTACATTTATTTTTTTACACTATGTCTTTCACTGGGGCACAAAATTATATACAGATTTTATCTTTCCACATTAATGTTTTAAAATGCATAGTTCAGTCAGGTAATCCAAACATAATTGAGAGATTTGTTAATTTGGACAACTATTCCAGCAGAAAGTATGTGAAACCCTCTGTTATGTTCATGGAATGGTGTGTCCTAATTAATCAAGTATTCACTTTGTTCACTACATGAATTAATTGCTCCCCCCAAATTAAAGTACACTGGCATACACTTGACATTAAACTCTTCTAAATATACATTAATTTTTCTTGGTCATTTCAGAAAATTTATACAGGATCATCAATAGCATTGTTTGCCCCAGAGCTGTATGTAAATACTGGTTAACAGAAGGTTCAAATGGAAAGAATTTTGGCTAATGTTACTGAGCAGTTGCATTGCCCAGTTCCAGAGGACACTTTTCACATTGTATTCTATACAAACGCATCCCAGAGTTGTGCAAAGTAGGAGTCCTGCTATGCTACTTTTCATATATCCAAGCTAAATATTTTCTGTCAGAAGAAGTAAATGCTAATGACATGTAGGCGTACATTACTTGTATTACCTTGAAACTTATTTGTAAGGAGAAAGATAGTTGGGCTATTTTGTGTCTTTACAAGTAAAATCAAGCTAGGATGATGAAATATAGACCCATTTTAACCAAATCCTATCCTGGCAACATGCTGTCCTTTAGTTACTTAATAATTCATTCTAGACAGTTTTGAGGGAAATTTGTTGTTGCTGGTTCCTCTATCTACAAAGCCAATGAAAATCAAATATCATTTGTTTGTGATTTAGTCGATCATTACTCTTGGTGAGTAATAAGATCTTGTCAGTTAGTCGTGAGGAGTGGCTGTCAAAATTCAAATAAATTAAAACCATTGTGATTTCCAGGTGAATTTCTTTTCTCAGAATAGCAAGTTAAACAAGGAGAATTTTATAAGTGTTAGTTTAAGGAATTCTAAGAGGAAAGCCTCATTTTGAAGCTAGGTGATAAACTTTATATTTTTAGATAATTTTAATGAGTAAGTTATTAGTAAGTTATGATCTCTGGACTCACTCAAGCACCTTAATACAGCTTTTAAGGCCCTTTGTGAATTGTTCCTGCATATTTTTCTAGCTCTCTCTCTTATCAACACTCTCTCCAATTCTCACTCTTAAACCCCTGCCACTCCCCAACACCTTCCATCTGCCTTAAAATAATAAAGGTGTTCTGAGAATGAGTTTGGCCTTCGTTTCTAGATGCTGACCCTGAACTTGACACTTCCTTACCTACCCCTGAATTAGCTGTAGTTTCTGTGTTCTCCATTGCTCTGATTGCTGTGGGCTTTTCCCCAGCATAACTCCTACTGCTCTGTGTTGTGATTATCTGCTTATGCTTCCATCCATGAGACAGAGAACAGGGATGATGTGTTATTTATCCATATATGTGCTTTCTGCTATGGTCTGGTCATGGGACAGTGTGTCCTCGTTAATCAAGTACTTTTTAAAGTAAATTTTATTTACCACAGGATATAGGGCCAACAGTAGGCCCTAAATTAGTGCTTATTGAATTCATTCATTCATTCATTTATCTATTTATTTATTTATGATTAACTACACTTGATTACCATATTTTGTGAATGAATAACTGTATTTGACCACTATCTCTTTCATTCAATAAAATATAGAGATTCTAAAAATATACCAGATAGTTTTCTAACTTGAAAATTTGAACCAATACATGCTCCAATTAAGCATTTTTTTCTATGTCTATCATTAATCACTTTCTAGTTTAAAAATATTTAGGTTTGGATTGATAACTTAATAATATATGAATAAACATATGAATATGAACTATATATGAACATCACAGGCAAAATGAATGTAATCTCTGTGTTTTCTTTAAAACTGACAAATTCACAGCTCAAAGTGTCCAGCATTATTAGAAGAGGATTAAGATACTGAAAATTCATTTTCTTATATAAATTGTTCATAGTATAAATGTTTAAGAACTTAATTTAATTGCAATAGTTTTTTAAATCCTTTTTTTAAACTTTGAAAAAAATTTTTAAAAAGATTTGTTTATTCATTTATTTAAGAGAGAGGGAGGAGAGTGGGGAGAGGGGCAGGGGGGAAGGGAGTGAGAGAATCCCAAGCAGACTCTGGGCTAAGCGTGGAGTCCTACTCGGGGCTCGACCTCAGGATACTGAGATCACCACCTCAGCCAAAATCAAGAGCTGGACGCTTAACTGACTGAGCCACCCAGGTGCCCCTGAAATCTTCTTCTTCTTCTTTTTTTTTAAGAAGGCATATTATTTTAGGACAAATTATGATAAATTAAAACCTCATGATTTTTTCACATATTTAAAGATGAAAGGTAATTGATAACATATACTGACATATCGGTCAAATCTTGGATCATTTGTTTCAGAAATGTTGACGTTGAAAGGAAAAAGAATGTGAAAAACCACGTTACTAAATATTTTGCAACAGAAACAATCCAGACTGAATTTCACCAACTTTTGGAGAGGTAAACACTTACTATCCTAAATGCAAAGGCATTTTCCATTCTAGAGCCTGAATAATTATGTTTAACACATAATACAAAATATGTATGTATCTGCATAAGAAGGCTGTTGTTAATACAATGATTCTGGAGTTTTTAATCTGTGAAATATATAAACTCTGTGAGTTTATGATATCAGTGCTAGTTAATAAATTTTTGCCCCAAATGTCAAGGGCTGGCAATTTCCCCTCGCTTCTGAACTACCAACTCTGTAAATATAAATTATTCCCATTTAAAAAAATATTTCACAATTGTACAGCACTTTTCTTTGGTTTACATTTGTTTGAATTGGAATCAGTAGTTATCTACTTTAAACCAAATTTTAAATGTCATCAACCCATATCATATTTGTGAAATGTTATAATTTTCTTTTGATTAATATTTCCTACCAAAATAAGAATTATTCCCATAGAATTTGATAACTGCTTAAAGGTAGAGCACCAGGTATCAGCATTTTTACAAAATATGTCTTGTTGAATATGAGGGGGCAATCTTACAAAATGTAAGGAAAATTATGCTAATTTTTATTTAATAAGTCACTCCATACGACTCTGATGGTCTTTTCTTGGTGGTGGTGGTTCTTCCACCTCCAAAGCCAAAGGAAGGACTAGTGGTATAATAAGCATTATTTTTAAATAGTAAATATGGAAATTTTTTTGTTGATACTTAAAGTTGCAGGCAACACGGAGTATTGGAAATACCATTGAATTAAGAGTTGAGGGGATTGATTTTAACCCCAGGTTTGCCATTAACTAACTGGAAAACTTCAGCAAAGCACTCCCCTTCTCTGAGTCCCAGTTCCTCTTTGTTAAAGAGAATTGGTTGAAGAGCTAAGAGGAAAGCACGAAAGAATTTGATTCTTTTCAATATCTGTTGTATTCATGTCATGTGCATCAATTGGTGTTGGATATTCTGCTGGAGATTAAAAATGGGGGGGGCAAGACATTCCATGCTCTCAGGAAACTCCTAACTTGTTGGGAAGACAGTTTGCTCAGTGAAACAGTCAGAAAACCACAGAAGGCAGTATTTAATTGTGCAGAAGTAAAAATAATCAAGGGGTCATTTTATAGATGACCAGGAAGGAGGAAGAACCTGGTGAGGGGCAGCTGTTAGGGAAGCCCTCATGGAGAAGAGAGAAAATGAGAGAGATCTAAAAAGACAGAGATACAAAGTAAGAAGATAAAGAAAAGAAGAAAGCATGTATCCATAGCTTCTGTGAATTTTCCCACTGTTGTGAAATAACTGGAAGGATGTGGTGGGGCTCCTGGGATGGGTGTCCTTGCGAGTGATTGGAGAAAGGAAGTCCCCACTCTTACAGACCTGTAGCGATCTGCAGACCTGGGAGATGCACTTGCTTCCTTTATCCCAGGGCATCCTGGATTATATTGAAATGCAGCCCTCAAGGTACCAACTCCACCTGCCACTCCTCTTCCACTCTAGTCCTCACAGAGCACAGAGATCAGACTCTACTTTTCTGGACTCCCTGTAAATCTGAGTAGGCCATGTGGTTGCCAGTCCTAACTCCCAGTGTGCAAGTCAGAGGACCTTATTTGTAGGACCTTTGCTTCCGCGTTAACGGAGAAATCCTGGACCACTTGCTCAGCACCTCACTCAGTCCCCTCACTCTGTAGATCAACTATCTCATTATTCTATGATGATGGCCTCTTGGGGGGCCATAAAGTGTTGTGAAGGACTCAGATTTAGGTTTGAATTTCAGCTCTCCTACTTGGTAGCTATGCAATCTTGGGCAAGGAAATTAACCTTCAGGCTCAGTTTCCTCATCAGTAAAATGGGCCTCTCAGAAATGATGTGAGAATTAAGTGAGAGTAGCCATGAAATGCTTGCAGTGCTTGATCCATTTTGATAATGTGTTGCTAACTGTTTATGTGCCAGGCGCTGTACAGATATCCATACATTTAATCTGTAAAATATCACTGTGAGACAAATACTACTATATCTGTCTTCTCCTGATAGGGCAAATGAGGCCCGGAGAAATTAAGGGACTTCTTCAAGGTTACACAACCAGAACAGGAGGGCTAGAATTTGAACCCAGGCAATTTGACTCCAGAGTCCACATTCCTCCTGAGGCACTTAACAGCTAATTCTGTCTCCATTTATGTTAACTGGCATGTGAACAAGTTGGAGGAGTTAAATAGGAAAAAGCTTATCCCAATCCTCTCTAGCTCACCTACGTGGGCCAATTAAATTCAGTACTATTAAAACCAGGGTTTCAAAAAAAGAAAGGAGATTTACCAACCACCCCTTCCTTCTATTCTCCCACTCGTTGTCCTAAAACAGGATATTCCCATAGTCCAAATGTTCTCCAGGAAAATGTGAGTAGGAGCAGATATGTTAATGGTAATTCTTCTTAGGTCATGCTATAACTGCCTGGACCCACAAAGATATCCATTTAGGGAAAGTAGAAGGAATCAGGTTGGGCTTTGGGCAGCAAAGAAAGAGAATCAGGCACATCTTGTGGCTGGGGGCTCAATTTTCTTATAGTTCCTTCCCACTCCCTTCCCACCAACTCCTTTGGTCCACCAGCTGCTAGAGCTATGACACAAGAGGCAGAGACTTAGTTCCCATTGCCTTATGTCCTTCTAAGACCTCTCAGAGAAATGGAGGGCCTAATTATCTGCTCAATTGCTTTATCCCATCTAAGGAAATAAAATTGAGAAATATTCTTCATACAGTTTAGTCTTCCTGATCAGCATACAGTCACTTCTAATTCACTTAGGATAGACAGTACATTCTAATGTAAAATATATTTAGCAAGAATCCTTTACTTTTCTTGTTCCAAAGGCGGGATCATCTCAACAATCTTCTCAACAGCCCCATCACGTTCCGTTACCCCTCCCTCCTCTTCCCCCACCACTTAGCCTCCTTGCCACTCTCCTGAACGGGCTGTGTAACTTGCAGCCTCTCCCGCTTTAGTGCATCTTCCACCTGTCAGACGACTAACTCTCTAAAGAGCGGAGCTGAGAACACCACACCTCTCCTCTCCTACCTTCAGTGACTTCCTGCTGTTTATGGGGTAGAGGCCAAGTTTCTTAGCCTGGTATCTTAAGTGCTTTCCATGGGTTTCTGTCTTCTTTTCCAGGTTCATCTGGCTCCTGCTCCCATGCATACACTCGGGTCCAGCCACGCAAGACTTCTCTAGGTCCTAATCCTTCTCGATCAACCTCCTATTCATCTGCAAAGGCCCAACCCAAATGTCATTTGCTTCGATCAGGGTTCCCTGGAGGAATTCATTGTTTTGTTTTTCCTGTGTTCTCACAGCACCCTGACCATGTGCCTATGACAGCACCCACTCCTGCATATTTTTTTATGTTACGTTAATCACCATACATTACATCATTAGTTTTTGATGTAGTGTTCCATGATTCATTGTTTGCATATAACACCCAGTGTTCCATTCAGTACGTGCCCTCTTTAATACCCACCACCGGGCTAACCCATCCCCTCACCCCCCTCCTCTCTAGAACCTTCAGTTTGTTTCTCAGAGTCCATTGTCTCTCATGGTTCGTCTCCCCCTCCCATTTCCCCCCCTTCATTTTTCCCTTCCTGCTGTCTTCTTCTTTTACATCATTAGTTTTTGATGTAGTGTTCCATGATTCATTGTTTGTGTATCACTCCTGCATATTATACTTCAGTTGCTGACCTGTCTCTCTCCTGATGAGAGAGGGAGCTCCTCAGGGAACAAGAAAACAGTATCATTCATTTTGATATCCACAGGGCAGTCCAAATGCTTGTTTGGGGCCTGGGGGTGGAAATCACTGTTGAGTGGTTAACCAGGCTAAAAATTCCTGTTTGAAAGGGAGTTTAAGGGCTATAGAGATCACTACTAGTGGAGGGAGCTGAGAAACTGCTTGGTGATGGATATGACTCCTGAGAGAGAATAGAACGTTAACAGAAAAAGCCAAGGAAAGTATTTTAGGTAGAAGGAAGAGCATGAGTGAAGGCACACAATTTGAAAGTGTGCAGCACATTGAAGAATGAAAAATCAATAATGATATGCCTATTTATTTGTTGATCAGGCCTGGCACTGTGCTAAGCACTTTTCAAAATCAGCCTTTAATCCTCCCTAAAGCCCTGGAAGATAAGAAACTGAGGCTTAGAGAAGTTAATTTGCCCAAGTCCCACAGCTTGGATAGGGGGAATGAGACTCCAAAGCGGTCTGATGGGCTCCAGGGCCTGCCTCTGGGTGGTCTCACAGGTCTGCAGCAGGAGTGGGTGTCGATGGTCCAGATCCTTGATTTCTCTTATTTTCTCTCTTCTCTGCTGGAAGACTTCTATCTAAAAGCTCAGTTTTTGTGTCTCTTATTACAGGTGCACTGAAATTTTAAATTTACCTTCTGCAGCTCGGAGATTGTTCAATGAAAAGGGAAAGGAAATCTTTGCCCTAAAAGACCTTCAAAGAGATGAACTGGTAAAGACATGAATGTGAAACTGGAAATAGTATATGCATACAACTAAAAGACAAATGTTTTAAAATACAAGATGTCAAACACTAACTGCTTCCCCCCTTACTTTCTCTCAGCCTTACTCAGCAACCCTCAGAAAATCATACTAATAGCTAGCTGTTGAGAGCTACTGTCAGGCATGATTTCCAGGGCTTTCTAAGAATGAACTCATTTAAGGATCAGCATGACCCTATGAGATGGATGCTCTCAATGTCCCCACTTTAGAAATGAGGGTGGAAACTAGACAAGACCAGATTATTAACCACCTGTGATTTCTGTCTCTTACTCTGAAGGAGGTAGATATCTCCTCTTTTTGAGGCTTTCAAAAAGTAGTTGTTTAGTGATTTCTTACTAAATGAAAATTTCACTCTTTCAGAAAAAAAATTAAATCTAGTGTTTCACACAGACTATTTGGGTGGCTAGAGGTGACTGAGAAGAAGGACTTTTAGCAGCCAGCCCTTTCTCCCATTTATGGAATTTGAGGCATCAGCTCGAAAAGAAAACTTGCTTGACCAAATGCCTGAAATTCTTTGAACAGAGAGCTGAGCTCGCCTCATATCAGAACTCAACTCAGGCTCTGAATGTAAAGACCCCTTGAGCGAGTCTTAAACCACAGTACTGATGACTAATAGCAGCAGCAGCATGGCAGAGGGGAAAGTCTGTGTTGTTGGAATCGGGGAGATCTCTTTTGAATTCTAACACTATCACTTCCAAGGTTTTAGTTCGTTGGTTTTTAATTTTTTTTCTTTGCTTTTGCTGCTGTATTAATTCACTGGCTTATTTCAGGAAGAATTCGAGGTAGATTACATTAAAACATAGGATATAAAAGGATAAATTTAATGTAAGGATAAGTAGATGAGGCCACCAAGGCGAAGGGAGTATGAGTGAAAGGAAGAGAAGATGGAGCCAGGAGTGAGTGTTACAAGATTCTGTATATTTGCTAGAAACAAACCTATCACTGTTCTGAGCAGCCAACATAGAGATGGAAACATCAACAGTTACATGATCAAGTATGTCCAGAGAAAAAAAGGAAGCCTGTTGTTCAAACAGAAAAAAATTTTGAGAAAGTTTTCCCTGAGTTGTCATACAGGGGGGTGTGTATAATCACCAACGTGGGGCCACGGAAGAGCACCGAGTGGAATTTTTCTTCCTACTGAGTATTCTCAATATATCACTCTATTTTTTCTTACTTCAAAGAAATACCAATTCATTTAAGAAATAAATATAAGCAGCAGGAAGAACAGGTATCATTCATAATCTCAGCATCTAGAAATAGCCACGTTAACATATTACAAGTTCATTTATACCAGTGGCTTTGTCAAACTTCTTCTGTAAAAGGTCAGTTAGTAAATATTTACAGACCATATGATCTCTAATGAAGCATCAGCTTTTGCCATTGTAAGCACAAAAGCAGTCACAGAAAGCATGTAAGTGAATGGGCATAACTGTGTTCTAATAAAACTCTATTTACACAAACAGGCCGCAGGCCAGACTTGGGCCTCAGCCATAGTTTACAAAGCCCTAATTTATACCTACCTCCCCTTCCTTCCTTCCTCCCTCCTTCCTTCCCTTCTTCCCTTTCTTTCTTCTTTTTTTCCTTCCTTTAAAAAATTATTTTATAAAACTTTATTTTGAAAAAATATATAGATTCACAGGAGGTTGCAAAGACAGTATGGAGAAGTACTTTTTTTTTTTTTTTTTGGTATAACCCTTGAGACCCTTCAAAGTTGTTACGTTTATCAACAGTTTTGCCTTTTTATCACTGAGTATTATCCATGGCGTCACAGTTTGTTTAACCATTTGTCTATTATAGGACATTTTGTTTGTACTTTTGGCTGGTTTTTGGCTATTACTAATAATGCTGCTGTGAACAGTTGCACCCGGGATCAGAGATTCACTTCTTTGCTAGGTATACGTTTCATGTGGAGAACATTGGATCAATCCTGATGTGTCCATTGCTCAGCAAAAGAAAGAAATCTTCCTGAGAAACTTAGCATCAGATATTTCTAAAATTCAAACTTTCTGCAGTATACGTAAGATAGAGGGTAAGCATTGGAATTATTTACCATAATATATATGGCCAAAACTAAATGCTTGATGCTGCTTTTTTAAAAAATTAAGTTTGTTTAAATAGTCATATTTCACTCCTATATCCTGCCGTTTAGCTCTTTAGACAAAATTATATATTTAACAGGATTGCATATTTTAATTCACACTACACTTTGGATGTGTAAAGAAAACGTAATTTATTTTGTCATTAACAAATCAGATCTTCTTTGTTTTCTGTTAAGGAAAGCATAAAGTGTCCAGTCAGGTTTAAATTTTGCCTTATCCGTTAATTTATATTATTTATAATCCATTAATTATATATTTAGGGACAGATTCCAGTTTTCCCAGTCCCCAGAGTCTCTCTTTCGTTCTTCTCTCAGATGGTAGGGAAGAACTTGGGGCACAGAGTCTCTTGCTTTCTGGGGCTTAGTGGCTGCCGTCCATGGCTGGGCAACTGTGTTCCATTCTTTTGGCCCAGACAGTGCTTTGGGCGGGTGATGCTTCCTGCTTCTGCTCCCTTTGGCCCCCTGAACCCTGGCTGTGGCGGAGCTCATCTCTGAAGTCCTTATTACAGAACCCCTTCACCCCTCCTTCGCAACCACTTCTAGAAAGCTCTCCAACATGACTCTCGGCAAATCTTGGGTCATGGCTGCACCTCTCAGAAATCAGATCCAGGTTGACAGGGCTGTGCCTCAGATTGGAGTGGTGGAGGCAACTTGAGAGATGACTTGTCACAGTGTTCTGAATAATGAACAGTGTCCTCAATGTTTCCTTGGCGTAGCTTAGATAGATACATGAAGTGAAGCCTGTAGGGGGAATCATGACATTCAGCGCTGATTTTCTGCCTTCTGCTATCTTCTGTCTCAAATGCCCTCAGGCCCACAAATGGTGGGTTTTTGCCAAGTTAACCTTGAGGTTAAAGCTTTGATATGATAAATGGGAGCTAACAGCATTTAGAAAAATCCTAAATCATGATAGTGTCAATCCTGTTTTACATGGCCTTGTCTTATGGCAATATGTTGTGCTTGAGTGTCAAAACTAACTTTGTACTTTTGCTTTCCTTTATAACATTTCTCATCAACTCATGGTCTTCCTCCTTCCATTGAGGCTGCCCCAGGAGCTAGGACAAAGGTCCTATACATAGAAAGTCAAAACAGAAAAATCATTAATATAATTTAAAACATTTCCCTATTACATATATTGAATGCTGTACAGTAAGTTTTGTATGTATCTTTCAAGGTATTAGGGACTTCCACTGAGGAATTTGGGATCCTAGATAATGATCTAGAGACATATATCTAAATAATATGCCCATTTGGATGGTTAGAATTTATAATAATTAACATTTTGGGGAAAGACCTATCCTTTAGTACTTTTTTTTCCTCTTAGACATTTTTTAAATTGAAGGGTAATTGACTATGTTGCTATATTTGTTTCAGGTATATAACATAGTGATTTGATATTTATATACATTATGAAATGGTCACTGTAATAAATCTAGTTACCATTTGTCACCATACAAAGTTGTTATAATGTCATTGACTATATTCCCTATGCCATACATTACATCCCCATGTCTGATTTTTTTTTATAACTGGAAGATTATACTTTTTAATCCCCTTCATCTGTCTCATCCATCCCTCTACCCTTCTGAAAATTATTAGTTTGTTCTCTGTATCTATGAGTCTGTTTCAGTCTTGTTTTGTTTTGTTATTTAGATGTAAGTGAAATGTATGTGAAATAATACAGTATGTGTCTTTCTCTGTCTGACTTATTTTACTTTGCAAAATACCCTCGAGTTACCTCCATGTTGACACAAATAGCAAGATTTCGTTTTTTATGACTGCATAATATTCCATTATCTATATAGCACTTCTTTATCCATTCATCTGTTGATGGACACTTAGATTGTTTCCATATCTTGGCTATTGTAAATAATGCTGTGATGGACATAGGGGTGCATATGTCTTTTCAAATTAGTGTTTTCATTTTCTTTGGACGAATACCTAGAAGTAGAATTGCTGGATCATATGGTAGTTCTATTTTTAATTTTTTGAGAAGCTGCCATACTGTTTTCTGTAGTGGGTACACCAATTGTACATCACCAGCTAGGTGCACTAGGGCTCCCTTTTCTCAACATCTTTTGTTTTTGTTTTTTTTGTTAGTAGACATTCTGACAGGTGTGAGGTGATATCTCACTATGATTCTGATTTGATTTGATTTGCATTTCCCCGATGCTTAGTGATGCTGAGCATCTTTTCAAGTGTAGATTGACCATCTGTATGTCGTCTCTGGAAGAATGTCTTTTCAGGTCCTCTGCCCATTTTTTAATCAGATTGTTTTTAGATATTGAATTTTATGAGTTCTTTGTATACTTTAGATGTAACCCCTACTTTTAGTACTTTTGCCTGCAAATATCTTGGGGGGAAAGAATCTACAGAAAATTAAGTGAAATCCAATTTATTAAAGAGCAACTATCAATTACACTTAGAATGTGTTCTCTTAGACCAAATAGCTGAAAATTTTCTGCGTTCTTATTTTACCATGTGTTTTCAAATTCCTAGTGTTCTGCAATCATAACTAATACATCTTTGCAATTTGCGCATTTCTGCTCAGCTCTTGTTTTAGAAGTCCAAAGTGACATCGTGTCTGGAGCCAAGCTTGCTGTGCATAAGCCTGTGGCAATTTTTGGAGAAGAGAAGCAAATGATAGGACCAAAGGAAAAGCGAATGCAAAAAAATGCTTTAACAACGGAAAAGGCTTCCAGTGAAATTCTGTAAGTAATCATCATGGCCAGGAAAACTACCTGGTTCCTATTTGAACTCAGCTCATTAGCTCAATAACAGCACAGAGCCCATGCAGGGAACCCACACCACATTTGTGATATGGATTTCAGGTGAAGAGCTAGTATTTAATTAGTTTTCTGGCAAAAAGATCAGTCTGGAGCTTCAATGTTCAGCCATCACAATGATCTACTTTCAGTAATTTCATTATTATACTATTTTTAAAAGACTAGAATTTTGGAATTGCAAATTATTCAAGGAATCCATCATGTTTTGTTTCCATTGATGTTGACTCCAGGAACAATTAAATTAATATAGGTTCAAGCTGGATGCATATTAACATACAGTCGTCATCCTGGGTCACTGAAGTGGTTTCCGGGTAGGTGTCTCTCTCTCCATTCTCTCCTCCTTCCAATTCACCTCGAAGTTCCATCTACAGACAATTATCTTTCTAAAACATAATCTTTTTATACAGTTCTTCAGTGGCTACCTACTGCAAAGAGAAAAAACATTTAGTTTGTAATCCCAAGCCCTTCCGACCTGAGTCCGGGCCTGTCACTGACCCTCATTTGCACCCCCACGCCCACCTCCACTCCACACTTTTTCTTCCTGACACACGAACTAAGCTCTAGCTCGGCGGCAACAAGCTGTGGCTGAATGTGGCATATTCTGTCTATGCACCATTGCAGGCCTCTGAGCCACTTATACGTGTTTCTCTCTGCCTGAATGACCTGCCCGGTACTCATGTGTGGAATGATTCTTCATCATTGAAATCAGTCATGGTAATGATTGTACGTAGGGCTGTGCTTATCAGTCCTCCCGCACCCCCCCCGCCCCCCCGCCGCCAACCTGGGAATTCCTTGAAGGCAAAAGCCCTTGTCATGCATGTTCTGTGAAGACCCAGGGTAGCTGAATTTAGTCATCCTACACTGAATAAGTGAAGGAATGATTGGGTGAGTTTCCAAATTCTAAAACCATATATAGCTAGTCAACTACCCATGTGATAACAGTGAAAATTAATTTACATGTCATTTGAAACTATTTTACAAACCACTTTAAAAGACTGCTTCTATCCTCTATCAACTCTTACTTTAGGAAACAAAGCCCCTCATTTTGATGAGTGATTCATCTGGTCTCATGTCCTGACACTCACAAGGCACCAGAAGGCCTTTTTCAGAGAGAAATGATTTGGCCTACATGGTATATTCCTCAATGGCTAGAGAATTTCTGAAGAATGTATCATCTGGCCTCTGAGTTATTAGACTGCACATGGGAAAAAAGTAAACAGAAAGTGAGAAAAAAAGAAAGAACATCTTTGAGAGTGCAAAGATCCACATTGTTCTAATTTATAGATTTCATCAAGGCCTGGAGTTGTTGAGTTGTTGAGTTGGAGTTGTGAGTCCACTCAAAACATAAGGCAAGAATTTCCTGCACATTCCGGGCAGGCTCTTTTGATCCCATCTTTTGTTGAACACTCATAGTAACAGGGAGATTACTATTTCGCAAGGCAGCCCATTCTAATGTCGAAATTATTTAGAATATCTCCCTCCTATGGTTTCATTTGTTTCTGTTTATATCCATTCATCTTCTACTTAAAAGTCCTTAAAATATGCAAAGTTCATCATCATCAGGCTACTGGGTTATCTCTTTTCCAGGCTAACTTTCACTAGTTCTCTGAACCACTTGTGATGACTCAGTCCTAAATCATCTTATATTAGAGAGTCACTTTAAGATTTCCCCAGAATTTCTCAGATATGTTTGTTTGGAAGTTTTACATATTTGAAAAGTGGGATGATTTAAGGAGGGATATCCATAAAGCAGTAGGGTAAACTTAGATCTAGAAGGAAACCTTTTGATAGTTGGGTTTTGTGCAAAGATTTCTGGTAATAAGAATAAGCAAAATGGAAAAGAAACTCTGGGAGCACTCACTTCAGCTTTGCTGCTTTGTGAAAGAAAAGCCTTTTTTAGCATGGAGCGCAGGGAGAACTTTCCCATTTCCTTACTGAATTACAGGCAGGCCCTGCCCACTTCTTAAGCCTCTTCACGTACTACCTTTCTCACTCACCTGTCACATCAGTGTCTTTCTGTTCCTCAAATGAACCAAGCATATTCTTGCTCAGAACCTTTCCATTTATTGTCTTTGCCCAGAATGTTCCCTCTCTCAAACCTCACATGGCTGGCTCCTTCCCATTTTCTGGGTCTCAACTCAAACATTATCTTTCAGAGGAGCCTTCTCTGACTCCATTGCTTAAGTAGATCCCACCCCACCCTGGGTAGTTTCTATGACAATATCTTGTTTTATTCCATTTGTGGCACTTATATTATTATTTATTCATTGACTTGTCTGTTATCTCTCTTCTGCCCACTAGAAAGCTCCATGAACCCTGAGAACTTACCTGTTTTGTTCATCACTGTATCCCCAACGCTTAGAACTCTGTGCCGATCATGTAGCAGATATTCAAGAAATATCAGTCAAAGGAATGAGTGATTAATTATGGAATGATTAGTTATATGAGTAAATGGACAAATGAATGAATTAATAATGCAAGGTATATTTAAAAAGGGCTGTTCTAAAGTGGCTAGACTATACTTAATTTGCCTGGAAACCAAAGAGAATACAGAAAATTCCAAGTTAGAAAATTAAACATCTGGACTTGGGGGAAGAATCTTGTTTACACCTTGCTGAATATGTTATAACTAAGAATGACCTTTTTGTTTTCTGTTTTCCTCAAAGAAATAGAGGTGGCGGGAAAGCTGTGTGTTTTATTTTTAACACTAGATGGCACTGTTGTTTTTTAACTGCTGGGAAGAATTTTGACTCGAGAAGCCGCTTGTGCGCAATTTCGAATGAGGCAGTGGTTACCCTCCAATTTCATATCCACGTATAATACTTGTGTTAGATTTGAAAAGTGTATGGTCTGCTGTGCCAACACAAGAATTGACCCCGAAGATTTTGGTAATTTGATGTTGCTTCCAGTTATATCAAATACCACGAGTACCTTGGCAATCACAGCCTACCTACTCCCCATCAGCTTAAATAAAGCATACGCATATTTAGAGTTCTGGAATATGCTCACTGCTTTGCCTGTATATTTATCCTGCCTTGAGCAGAGCAGTCTTCATATTGTGTTGTGATCCATCCCGTGGAAGCAAATGTACCTTCAACAGTGCTCCGGAACGTGACATGTATAGATCTGCATGGTGGTTATGCTCCTGTTCACATCTTCATCTTAATAAGAAGCCAGAAGAAGGCTGACTGACTCAATTATTCATGCTATGACTCTATAAGTGTTTTAGTACATTATTCTCTATCAAAATCTGGCACGTCTGTGCCGATGCTATTTGAGCCTCTCTAGATCTGAGAGGAAAATTAAGTTAATTAAGATTTCTTAACATTGTCTAATGAGTAAACTTTATGAAATGCAGTAATCTAGGATGTCCTGTTCCAGACAGAATTATGACCCACTTATGAAGTAGGCAGAAGGAATCTCATTACACATTCATTGTGAATTTCTTAAACTACCGAGTAGTGTTAATCTTGCAGTTTTTTTTTTTTTTTTTTAGAGGGGGGTAGGGCAGAGGGAGAGGGAGAGAGAGAATCTTAAGCAGGCTCCATGCCGAGCATGGGCAGAGCACAATGCAGGGCTTGATTTCACAACCCTGAGATCATGACCTGACCTGAAATAAAAAGTCTGATGCTTAAACGACTGAGCCACCCGGGCACCCCAATCTTGGAGTTTTTGAGATATAATACATGGCCCCATTTTTTCCTGAATAAATATAGTAAAGATGAATGCTGTTTATTATGTAATTGGGGAATTTTATTTGTAGGCTTGTATTAAAAGATCTAAATTATGTAGTAGTAGGAGGTGGGTTGGCAATGTTAGGCACCATCATGGAAATGTGATTTACAGATCCATCAATATCCTTCAGGATATGATCAGATTATACCTCAGAGAAAATTCTGTGAGTAAAAATCAGAATTTTTAGACTTGTGTTTGCTTCTGAACCTTAATAGAGATTCACATGCAAGAACCCATCTCCGAATGGAAGCTTGTCACACACTTCTCAGGTATGCCTGGCAGGAAACTCCTCATGACTTTGATGAGGATGACAGTCTTCCAAAGAAAATGGAAGAAGAACTCTTTGAAAATGTGGAACCACAGAAGCAATACAGGTAAAAAGTTGCAAGGAATTCTTGTTAGAGATTTCTGCATGGTCTTAGATTTGCTCACTTTGAGGCAAAATGATTCCTGAGGGTTTGCATTACTGTTAGCCGCCATTTACGTTAACATACACATTTGTGTCTTTCTTGTGTTTTTGACTAAGTATTTACAAGTATTTGTGGGAAGGCCCTTCTCCCTTTAGCTTATTTTGTGCCATGTAATATAATTTCTTGTTTTTTCTATTAAGAGTGAAGCCTTTTCTATTAAGCAGTAAGCTCATCCACCTTTGCCTCCTGATAACTTAACATAAAGCCTATGTATTTGTTGAATGAATGTGTGAATGAATTTAAGAATAAGCATGTAAGATGCCCTGATGTCTTTAAGAAATTAGTAAAATGTAGTTTCTTCCTTTTTAATTTTATTTTTTTTCTGGTCAACGTCCAATGAAATAACAGGAATTTATAGTACTTTGTATTATTCCATAAACTTTAGACACTTGCTTAACATTATAGCATTCTGTATAAATCAAACAGCTTTGGCATTTCAACAGTTAACATTGCCCTTGCACATACTAGGGGCTTCGTAGATGTTTATAACTTAATTGACAATGCATTGTGATATTTCATATATTTTATAAATCTGCTTATTGCCTTAAGCCCCTTAAGCAAGAGATTCTTTTGAATGAACTTATTAGCATATCGTTCTTTTTTATGATATTCTATGAGTTGTTAGGGAGGATTGAAAAACTTGGAGAGTGGCATTCTCTTTGCCAGGCAGACTGTAGATAGAGGCTAGAAACAACCATGGTTTGAACACCTTTGCTTCTCCCTCTTCCATTTCTACAGGGCCCTCTCCTTCTCCTACTCCTTTTCCTTTTTAACTAAATTATCTCTTCAACTCAATTTCTTTTTGCTATGCTGATGAGTTTCTCATATTCTCTTGGATGGACATTTATTCCAGTTACAGAATAAGCTCCGAATTCTACTCTTCACGTCCGCTTGGCAGGGCAAGGCAGATAGCAGTGGTGCTGTCCCCATGATAATGCCTCCCCATTATCAGTGAATTTGGGTCACAGCAGGTCTCTCACCAACAGAACCTGCAGTCTCCAGCACATTGAGGGCACAGGATGCTTTTTGGCCTCTAATGGGATTCTCTTTATCTCAGCCATTCTCCAACGCAGAGTAAATTGCAGAAGCTTTGCCACCAGCAGTTTGAATACAGAGATGGGCAAATTATAAGCCGTGCCGCTCCTCAGCTAGTTTTGGGAGTTCGAGGTCCTGATCTGCGCTCAGGCATGGAGGTAGTTTTGGTGGAGAAAAAAGTGGATGATAGTCATCAACGGTGGATGCACAAGGAAGGCAGCAGGTAAACCCATTATACTGGGTGTTAATCTATCAAAATATATCAATGGCAGCCTAAGAAATCCCCACAGAGCAGGCAGGGGTATACGTGAGGACTTTGGATTTTCTATTTAAGGTAGCCAATAATTTTTTATCCTACTCAAAGGAGAGAAAGAGAGTGAAATCAAATGTAAATGCTCAGTAGTCTATACACAACTTATCCAGTGTCAATTCAGATAGGAAATATGAAATCTGACCTACTGGGCTCATAGTTTTAACTGGCTATGGAAGTTAGAAAACTGGGCTGCCATCTAATTCTAATTTTTATGATTTGAAAGGATCAAGAAAGAACTTAAAAAAGTTTGCAATACTTTTCATTAACTCAGCCTCCTGCCCCTCCCCACATTCATGCCTTTCCACCATCCCCTATTTCCATCAAATAACCAACTGATATGGCTTCTGCTTACAGAGTGAAAATGAATTCTTACCTTAACAAATATATCAATCCAATCCTGGCCCTTGTTTGGATTCAGATTCAAGCCAACTACTGTTAAAGGTTATTTCTAACACAACTGGAGGAAATTTAAAAGTCTGGGTACCAGATGATGCAAAGGAAGTCCTAATTAATTTTGTTGTGTCCTAATAGTTTAATGGCTGTATTAAAAAAAAGGAAAAGTCCTGATCACTGAGATATATATTGTAGTACATACAGATAAAATTAAGAGGTAGGTCAGATTTGCATTAAAATATTCTAGCAAAAGCAAAAATGTAAAAAGTTGGGGGGTGGATGAAACAAGAATGGTAGAATGTTGGTAGCTGTTGAATCGTGGTGGCTTTTTAGACTTCTCTCTGTTTTTGTTCATATATGAACATGTCTTTAACCAGAAAGAAAACAACTGCTTGGTTTTTAGATTGGTTTGCTTCAAATTCTACCCTTAGTCTTGTATGGTGGGGCTCCAGGGGCCTCTTCAATCTCTTGACATCTGTGTGATACATTTTTTTCCCCCCTGGGAAAGAGCTGTGGTTTTCATTGGGATTCTCAAAAGGTGTGTGTTTTGAAAGGTTCAGGAATTGCTGCTTTGACAGAGACTGTGTAAGCTTTAGCGGGTGGCAGCAGTAGCCCAGCATGGACAGCAAGGAAGCTAGTCTTACTGTTCACTGTCTGAGATGAGCCAAGCGCCAGCAAGGAACACTTAACTGGGCTTGTTTTTGAGAAGGCTGAAAAGCCAACCTGTAGATAGACTTGTGAGTGTGTTCCTTTGCCCCGTTCATCCTAGCTAAGCTAACTTTATGACAGGGAGCTAAGAAGCAGGTTTTTGTCCCTGTGAATGATTTGCTATATGGGACCAGAATTCATTCATTCTGCTGCAAAGGGTAATTAAGGGCGGTGTTTTAGGTACTGGTGCTTTAGCTGAGAATAAAACATGAAAATCCCTGCCCCTGCAGAGCTAATGCTACCCGGCTCTACATTTCTGGAATTTAGCAACACATCTTACTGCTTTAGCTTACCGTATTATAGTGGAGGTCCTCCTCGAACCCAAGTTGGAAATTGCCAGAGATACTCTCACTTGGTTTCCAGCCACACAGAAGAATGGTCCAGGTCAACTTTTGAGATAGCCTGGCATCTTTCTCCCATTTTCAACTCTGGCAAAATCTGAATTAATCATCTGGCTTCTAAAGGGAAATATGAAAACAATGCTTGGGGATGAAAATCCCCTCAACTGGACCCAGAATTATACAGGGGAAAATACAGTGTCATGGAATCTGGAGCTACAAGAGATCTTTTAACATTTCCTCATCTTAATCACTTGATTTCAGAGCTAGGTACACTGAGGAGCAGGAGATTGACTTGCAAGCACTCATTCCCTGGGTTTGTGGAAGGGGCTGTGGTATCGTGCTAGATACCACAGGAATCTGGGACACAGATTAAGGTCTCACACTGCCATTTGGCACATAGTGGGTTTTATGTACAGGTCCATAAATTCAAGCTTCCTGCAAAATGTAGGCACTCCTGCTAAGGCCAAGTGCCAATTCACTGTACTGTTCAAAAACAAAAAGGAAAACCAACACTGTCATGGCTGAGCAGGGCACTGAAACATGGGAGAAGTTGCTACAGCTCTTCTAAGCAGCAGAAACAGATAGGTAGGTAACTGATCTTGGCATCTCAGTAGGTCATCACAGGAGATGTACAAGCATTCACTCATATGAATAATATTGAGTGTCAACAAAAATGCAATACCCAAACTATGCAAATGGCAAGGCTACACAGGTGAGTAATAGAGAATACCAGCTCTCATGCAGTGCCCAGTTTTGATAAATGCTAAAAAGGTATTTGATGAGATCCAATACCCATTTTTTAATTTAAAATGATACATCATTAATTAACAGTAGAAGGGAGAAATACATTGCAAGATTAATAGTGATTATCTTGTAATATGAGTAATGTCTAAAATTCTGTTATAATTTTTACCCTATTTTCCAGTTCTTTGTAAATCTTTTACAGTGAGGTTATATTGTTTTATATTTATTTATAGCACAGAAGTTTAAATTAGATATCTGGAATTTTTTAAGTCTTGAAAGGAGAAATATATTACTTTTATAACAGACCCTTTCTCACCTTCTCCTCTCCCCTCCACTCCCACATCATTAAATTTTATAGGACGAGTTATATTTTCCACAGCAAGAATGCCACTGCTGGTGTGTAATGTAACTATGTTGACAGACATAAAGAATTGGCTTTTTCTATACAGACAAGTTCCTTGAATGTTTGGCTTATTTTGCTTTTAAGTGATGCAAGGAAAAGAATTTGAGGGTTTTAGCTCAATAATTTTCTTTCCTTCTTTCAGTCAAAGAGGCTTTATGTGAGTTTCTATATAAGACAACTTAACAATATTCAACATATGTCTTGGACTTTTAGGGAATACCCATTTAGAAAAAGAGAATTGGAGGAAAAGCTATAAAAAATCACAACCATTAGTAATAGTAGCTCATTCTAAGTGACGTGTGCCAGGCAATAATCTATACATTTTCTGTGCATTAACTCATTTCATTCCCATGAGTCCTTTGAGGCATGCACCATTATCCTATTTTACAGATGAGGAAACGGAGGTGTAGGGTTGGTAAGCAAAGCCATATAGCTACTAAGAAGTAGATTCAGGATTCAGACTTGAACACTGTGGCTCCAGAATCCATGTTCTTAATCATTCTGCCACAGTGCCTCTCATAATAAATAGCGGGAGGTGAAGAGGGTGTATCAGTCTGGGTTCAGTTTGGAGACAGAAACCACACAGTGATTTAAAGGGGATGTGTAACGTGAAGAATTATTAAACAATAATAGAAGAGTAACTATCAGATTTTTTTTTAAAAAAATCCTCTGTATGGTGCTCTGGGGCTGAGGGAATTGAGGACAAACATGAAATTGGGCCCTTTCCCAAGGTGGGAGTTCAGAACTCTTTAGAAAAAGTATGGCTACAGCTAATTGGAGGGCAAAAATCTGTTGGTTTGCCTGGCCAGACCTGGTCTGTGGTTGGTATGCAAGCAGGAAGTAGCCCTCTGGAAAATATGTGGGAGTGCGGCTGGTTTGGGGGCACATGGGCATGAAAAGGGAATGGCGGTGCTGGGGAGGCAGAAGGTTTAGAGCATGTGATGTCCATGTCAGGAGGGCCACGAGCAAATGATTACAGGCCAGGGCTGTGAAGCTTCCCAGAGGCCACACATCCTGGGCACCTGGTTAGGGCAGAGCATCAGGGGATAGCCTCACTCCCAGCTGCTGACCCTAGGCAGCTGCCAGGAAGAGCAAGGGAGCCCCTTCCTCCTGCAGTGTTCCTCCAGCACTCTCTACTGAGAAAGCTTAACGTTGTGCTTCTGTGGGGGAGAAACGCTTAAAGGATGCCTATCCATTATCACAGAGCATGCCTGGAGCTCAGAGGCAGCACTCTGGGGAGTGGCACCGAGGGAGCTCTGATCTGTTTATGCTACTTAGTAACAAGCCTACTCCTGTTTTCCCAAAGGACCTTTCACCTGGTGAGCAACCCAGACCTTGTGCTGGCAGTGTCTATGACCAAAACAAGAAATGAAGTCTGTGGCTATCCAGTTATTGTTCAGGTAAGATATATATATATATATATACAGGCTAAGTAGTAATCATGGCCCTTTATTTAAAGTTAAGTAAACTTTAAGTAAGTAACTTAAACTTTAAGTTAAGTAAGCTTCCTTGTTGTGCAGAAAGATAATGGCTGTCATAGAAACCTATTTTGAATGCCATTGTTAAAATATTTACAATAGTCTGCCTAGATTTCAAATTCAACATGTTCATGTAGCTCTTAATTTAGTTTAATCCAACAGATGGTGATTGTGGGCTTGCTGCATGTCAGGAGTTATGCTAGTTACTTAAATCAAATCCAAGGGCAAGCATGAAAAATTATCCCAGTAACATTCATATTGTCTCAGTGGTGGGTACGGTCAAGTGAATAGCTGTTAGAGGCACATGTTTTAAGCTCAGTGATCGGGACATCTGCAAGTCCCCTCTTACCTGGCAACTGGAGGGAAAGAGCATGATCAAAGAGGTCTTCCTGAAGGAAGTGAACTCATCAATGTAAATTCTACGAAGGTACTCATTTGAAATACACTTAACATACTTTAGCAAATGCTTGTAGCAGCCAAACAGGTTTTGGAGACTCCAGAGAAATCTGGGTTCATTTGAGTTTTGGGTAAAGATCTATGGAGTTCTTTTTTCATGTTTATCTGTCATCCTTACTTGTAACCAAAGGCACTCCTCAATGGCTATGTGTTTTTCCTTGTTAGGAGGAAAGAAAGTTTAGGAGCACCCCTGCTCTGAATTTATTTTCCATATCCTCCATAGTATTTACCATCTTTTTGTTGAACAGAATATATTATCTCCAAAGTACATTTGTTTTATTCCATGTTTTTAATAGCAACGAGGCAGCTTGTTTTGCAGGTCCTGAATCCATAATTGGGATATAGCAATCTGGACAAATATCAAAGCTTAATTAAGTCTTCTATCCTGCTGATAACTATGGACAAAAATTTATTCTAGGAGACATCGTATATATAACATCACATTCTTCCCTGTCAGGTGCCTTTTTTGCACGGGCCACAGTGAGATTAAAACCTCATGCAGATGCAAATTTTGTACCTTAATCAGTTTCATAAAATTATAGATATTGACATTTTCCCCTAAGGTTCCCATTTTTAAGAAATGAGCTTTATCTCAAGGTAATTTGTATTAGCTTTCAAGATTTTTTCCTTTGCTGATGTTTCATTTTTATTTCTTAAAGCAATCAGTTTGTGAGAAAATATTAAATTTCATGTGAAATAATAAAAATGAGGCATGTTAGGTTAATGTTACTAGACCCCCCACTCTCTGTTCTTTGAAATATAGTCTTTGTTTTCCATGCCTCTGAGGGATGCTCTATTGTCTGACCTATTAAATCAGTTCTTAAGACCCATTTATTTTCCTCTTTACTATCAATGTCTCCCTGGTAAAGTAAGTGCTATTCATTATAAAGTTCCTTGAGGTGTCATGATATGTTTAGTTGGAACTAATCTGCTGGTTTAAATTCTCTAAAATTGAAACTACTCATTTCTTTACTTATGCTTGAGCCAAGTTTTATAATTAGAATAAATGTGCTGTTTCTGTTACATATAAAACTGCCTGTACTCATATTTGAAAAAAAAAAAAACCTTCTCGATAACCAGGGAAACATAAATTAAAATAGTAACAAGACACTATTTTTCATTTATTAAATTGATATTTGGGCAAGAATGTGAGGAAAGCAAGCCATATCATATTCTACTGGTGTAAGTATAAACTAGAATAACCTTTCTAGAAAGCATTTTGATACGATAAAGCTTAATATGATGTCTCATAATATTTAAAAATGATCATGTTATTTTATCAGCAATTGTACTTGAGGAGTTTGTTTTAAAGAATTTTTCGTGGATTTATATGAAAATTTGTTTATATGATTATTCATTGCTTTTTTGCTTATAATAAGGAAAATTTGAGAAACAATCTACGTGTTTACGTATTGGGGATTGGTAAAATAAAACATCCCTAAGATCAAGATTAAAAATGTTAAGAAAAGGTTCATGGAATATTCTTGTTAAAAAAACTAATGCAGTTCCCAAATTTTATGCATTTTGTGATTTCATTTTTGTAAATCAAAGGATGCATATTTATAAATATAAAAAACGTTGCATATATAATCATCAAATAGAAATGTTATCACTGCATAGTAGAATTATGAGTAATTATCTATACTTTCTGAATTTATGCAATGAAACTGTGACAGCTATAATCAAATCATAAACTCTCCTATCAGTTTGACTCCATATTTTATCCTTTTTTTTTCAGAAATATAAACCATATAACAATGGGACGTCCAATCAAAAGTGGAATTATGTGGAAAATACCAAGGCTTTTATGGCCTTTCATAGCACTGCATTGGATAAGGAGATCACAGCAGCAAATTATGCTGGTATTTGTACATCCTCTGTGATTAAAGAGGAAAACATTGATCAACCAGTAAGTGGTTCTTTTCTAGTAAGGATAAAAGAAAAATAGGGGAAAATGAAGTAATTTAATTAAGCTAGAACTTTTTTTTTCCCCTAGAAAACCTAATATTCACACAAATTAAACATTGATTTGTGACTGAAATCACTTAGACTCTATGATTCTGGTTAGGAAACAATGAAGGAATATTGGTATTACCCTCTGCTTATATTGTTTCAATGGCTCCCTATCACCAGCACCACCTGTGGTCCATTGTCAGTTCACCAGAACACTCACGAGTGAGGATAATCACACATACTATACTCCCACAGGTGTGCCTGCCACACTAGATGTCACTCGACTCCAGAAAGCATATTAAGATGCAAATGATTGTAAGTGTCTTTAACTATATTACATTATACCAAGCATAGTTCTAAATCTGAATCCCTATACTCTGATTTTTAGAGGAAATAATTTTTTTAAATGTGGTCCTGTAGTTTTTATTAGTAAGGAATTGCTGCATACTTTACAAATACCTGAGGTATTTGTGGGTCTGTATGTCAAACTACCTTGCTTTTGTTGATTACTATTGGCCTGTAGAAATCTCATAATGTACACTGCAAGATTCTCTATCCTCTTTGCTTCTCAGACATCTCTAAATAGCTGCCTCTTCTCCTTCACCCCAAATTCCCTAGATCTACTAAATAATTTGTGTTTGTCCAAATTTATCATACCATTTTACAAGTCTTTGGTTTTGACTATGCTATCCTCCCCCCAACCCTTTTCGCCTTTGTCTGTGAACTCATACCAGTTAGCAAATATGCTGTCAAAGACTACTAAGGTCATCTTAAAAGGAATCAAGTCAGCTGGAAAAGGCTCCCAGTTCAAAGACAAAACAATTTAAGCATCAAGACTACTGAATGTGCTGGATGGACATACATCAAATATGTTTAAATCCATATGTTCATACTGATATTAAATAAGAACAACAATAATTCATTGATCACAATTAGATGATGCTAAGGAATCAATTAGTTACTTTGACAACTAGGAAATAAAGAATCAAGCATTTATTTTTTCCTTCTTTTATGACCTATACCTTAGGATAACAAAATAGTAGATGAGAAGTTTCACTTCATAGGAATATTCCAGCTAATAAATGAATAAGGTATGAAAAAATTGGAATGCCACTATGTTGTAAACTTTGATAAATTAATTGATCTAGGCAATGGTTAACAGTGACTACTAGCATTACAAACAGAGACACAACAAATAATATATGCCCCTTGATGGAAGTACATAGTACCACTTATGAAGTGTACCTCCCTCCACAAATGTAACTGGAATTTAATCAAGTCTTTCATTCTAACTGGAAATACAGGAGATAGAGGAACATGGTAAAACACAGTTGCCACTTTCAATGGCTTCATTGATAACTTCTTGTCTTTAACACCAATCACAGCACTTATTTCATCACCAGTAAACTACTCCATTAACAACTCAGGAAACAACACTTGTTGGTGAGAATGTGGAGAAAGGGGAACCCTCTTATACTTTTGGTGGGAATGCAAACTGGTGCAGCCACTCTGGAAAATAGTATAGAGATTCCTCAAAAAAATTAAAAATAGAACTACCTTATGACCCAGCAATTGCACTAGTAGGTATTTATCCAAAGGATACAAACATAGTGATTTAAAGGGGCACATGTACCCAAATGTTTATAGCAGCCCTGTTCACAGTAGCCAAAATATGGAAAGAGCCCAGATGTCCACTGACAAATGAATGGTTAAAAAATATGTGAGATACACACACATACACACACACACACACACACACACATACAGTGGGATATTACTCAGCCATCAAAAAGAATGAAATCTTGCCATTTGCAATGACATGGTTGGAAGTAGAGGGTATTATGCTAAGTGAAATAAGTCAGTCTGAGAAAGACTAATACCATATGATTTCACTCATATGTGGAATTTAAAAAACAAAACAGATGAGCATAGGGGAAGGGAAGGAAAAAAATAAGATGAAAATAGAGAGGGAGGCAAACCATAAGAGATGCTGAACTCAAGGAAACAAACCGAGGGTTGCTGGAGGGGAGGAGGGTGAGGTGAAAGGGTGATTGGGTGTTGGGTATTAAGTGGGGCAGTTGATGTAATGAGCACAGGGTGTGATATGCAACAGATGAATCACTAAATTCTGTCCCTGAAACGAATAATACAGTATATGTTAACTAAATTGAATTGAAATAAAGAATTTAAAAAAAAATTTTTAATTAAAACAAAACAAAAAAAACCTCCTCCATTTCCTCCTGGTCCACACCAATCCAATTATTAGTTAATTTTATTTAGTACCCATCTTCTGACTTTTTGGGTATTTTCCCTACAGACCTTTAAAACTTGGTTGCATTTTAGTAAATCTAGACAAAATTTAGGTAATTTTTGCTAACTTTTATTAACTTCTGGATAGTAATTGTAGAAGCTGAGTGTGGGTTCATGGGGGATCACTATACTGTACTATTTTTGTATGATTGAAATATTTTATAATAAAAAAAGAAAGAAAGGAGACCTAAAGTTTAGGCCTCAATGATTTTAAAACTAGTGCCTTTCTTTAACCATATAATCAAGATGTTCTTTTTTAAAACAAGACCCATCGATATGCTATCTGCAAGAGACTCATTTTAGACCCAAGGACACCCCCAGATTGAAAGTGAGAGGGTGGAAAACCATTTACCATGCTAATGGACACCAAAAGAAAGCTGAGGTGGCAATCTTTATATCAGACAAATTAGATTTTAAACCAAAGACTGTAATAAGAGATGAGGAAAGACACTATTTCCTACTTAAAGGGTCTATCTAACAAGAAGATCTAACAATTGTAAATATCTATGCCCCTAACATGGGAGCAGCCAATTATATAAGGCAATTAATAACAAAAGCAAAGAAACACATCGACAACAATACAATAATAGTGGGGGACTTTAACACCCCCCTGACTGAAATGGACAGATCATCTAAGCAAAAGATCAACAAGGAAATAAAGACTTTAAATGACACACTGGACCAAATGGACTTCACAGATATATTCAGAACATTCCATCCCAAAGCAACAGAATACACATTCTTCTCTAGTGCCCATGGAACATTCTCCAGAATAGATCACATCCTAGGTCACAGATCAGGTCTCAACTGGTACCAAAAGATTGGGATCATTCCCTGCATATTTTCAGACCACAGTGCTTTGAAACTAGAACTCAGTCACAAGAGGAAAGTCGGAAAGAACTCAAATACATGGAGGCTAAAGAGCATCCTACTAAAGAATGAATGGGTCAACCAGGAAATTAAAGAAGAATTTTAAAAATTCATGGAAACAAATGAAAATGAAAACAAAACACAACTGTTCAAAATCTTTGAGATGCAGCAAAGGCAGTCCTAAGAGGAAAGTATATAGCAATACAAGCCTTTCTCGAGAAACAAGAAAGGTTTCAAATACACAACCTAACCCTACACCTAAAGGAGCTGGAGAAAAAACAGCAAATAAAGCCTAAACCCAGCAGGAGAAGAGAAATAATAAAGATCAGAGCAGAAATAAATGAAATAGAAACCAAAAGATCAGTAGAACTGATCAATGAAACTAGGACCTGGTTCTTTGAAAGAATTAACAAGATTGATCAACCTCTGGCCAGATTTATCAAAAAGAAAAGATAAAGGACCCAAATAAATAAAATCATGAATGAAAGAGGAGAGATCACAACCAACACCAAAGAAATAAAAACAATTATAAGAAGAGATTATGAGCAACTCTATGCCAGCAAATTAGATAATCTGGAAGAAATGGATGTATTCCTAGAGACGTATAAACTACCATAACTGAACCAGGAAGAAATAGAAAACCTGAACAGACATATAACCACTAAGGAAATTGAAGCAGTCATCAAAAATGTCCCAACAAACAAAAGCCCAGGGCCAGATGGCTTCCCAGGGGAATTCTACCAAACATTTAAAGAAGAATTAATACCTATTCTTCTGAAACTGTTCCAAAAAATAGAAATGGAAGGAAAACTTCCAAACTCGTTTATGAGGCCACCATTATCTTGATCCCCAAACCAGACAAAGACCCCATCAAAAAGGAGAATTACAGACCAATATCCTTGATGAACATGGATGCAAAAATTCTCACCAAAATACTAGCCAATAGGATCCAACAGTACATTAAAAGGATTATTCACCACGACCAAGTGGGATTTATCCCTGGGCTGCAAGTTTGGTTCAACATCCACAAATCAATCAATGTTATACAATACATTAATAAAAGAAAGAACAAGAACCATATGATCCTCTCAATAGATGCAGAAAAAGCATTTGACATAGTACAGCATCCTTTCTTGATCAAAACTCTTCAGAGTATGGGGATAGGGGGTACATACCTCAATATCATAAAAGCCATCTATGAAAAAAACCACAGCGAATATCATTCTCAATGGGGAAAAATTGAGAGCTTTCCCCCTAAGGTCAGGAACATGGCAGGGATGTCCACTATCACCACTGCTATTCAACATAGTATTAGAAGTCCTAGCCACAGCAATCAGACAACAAGAAGAAATAAAAGGCATCTGAATTGGCAAGGAAGAAGTCAAACTCTCACTCTTTGCAGATGATATGATACTTTATGTGGAAAACCCAAAAGACTCCATCCCAAAACTACTAGAACTCATACAGGAATTGAGTAAAGTGGCAGGATATAAAATCAATGCACAGAAATCAGTGGCAATCAAATACACCAACAACAAGACAGAAGAAAGAGAAATTAAGGAGTCGATCCCATTTACAATTGCACCCAAAACCATAAGATACCTGGGAATAAATCTAACCAAAGAGGCAAAGGATCTGTACTCAGAAAACTATAAAATACTCATGAAAGAAATTGAGGAAGACACAAAGAAATGGAAAAATGTTCCATGCACATGGAATGGAAAAACAAATATTGTGAAGATGTCGATGCTACCTAGAGCAATCTACACATTTAATGCGATCCCTATCAAAATACCATCTACTTTTTTCAAAGAAATGGAACAAATAATCCTAAAATTTGTATGGAACAAGGAAAGACCCTGAATAGCCAGAGGAGTGTTGAAAAAGAAAAGCAAAGTGGGTGGCATCACAATTCTGGACTTCAAGCTCTATTACAAAGCTATAATCATCAAGACAGTATGGTACTGGCACAAAAACAGACACATAGATCAATGGAAGAGAATAGAGGGCCCAGAAATGGACCCTCAATCTATGGTCAACTAATTTTTGACAAAGAAGGAAAGAATGTCCAATGGAAAAAAGACAGTCTCTTCAACAAATGGTGTTGGGAAAATTGGACAACCACATGCAGAAGAATGAAACTGGACCATTTCCTTACACCACACACAAAAATAGACTCAAAATGGTTGAAAGACCTAAATGTGAGACAGGAGTCCACCAAAATCCTAGAGGAGAACACAGGCAGCAACCTTTTCAACCTCAGCCGCAGCAAGTTCTTCCTAGAAACATCGCCAAAGGCAAGGGAAGCAAGGGCAAAAATGAACTATTGGGACTTCATCAAGATAAAAAGCTTTTGCACACCAGAGGAAACAGTCAACAAAACCAAAAGACAACCGACAGAATAGGAGAAAATATTTGCAAATGACATATCAGATAAAGGGCTAGTATCCAAAATCTATAAAGAAC